TGCCCCTAGATGCAAACACTCAAGCAATGCACTTAGATTCTCTCTCAATCTCACAAATATGTTTAATCTATGATGGAAATGGGTGGGAGGGCTTTGGCTAAGCTCACAAGGTTGCTATGTCAATGTAAATGGCCAAGAGAGTGAGCTTGAGCCGGCCATGGGACTTAAATAGAAGCCCCCACGAAATAGAGCCGTTGTACTCCTTCACTAGGTACAGACGCGGGGTGACCGGACGCTCTGGTCATATTGACCGGACTCTAAACCCAGCGTCCGGTCGCCCGATGTCAGCCATGTGTCACACTGCGTTCAATAGGAGTCGTCTAATCTTAACGGTCATCTGTTGACCGGACGCTCAGCCTCTAGCATCCGGTCGTTTCTAGTAAGGTTTCAGAAACGAATTTCTTCGACCGGATGTGTCCGGTCATGCCCGACCGGACCCACCAAGCGTCCGGTCCCTCAACGTCTCCTCTGTGCGTCTCACGTCAGCGTATGTCAGCACTGACCGGACGCACCCTGCCAGCGTCCGGTCGCAGAGCGACCCAACGTCCGGTCATTTGACCGACGCCAGCGTCTTCGCTGTTACATTTGACCGGACGCGCCGGTCCAACCGAGACCAGCGTCCGGTCACTCCCAGTGACCTCCGTCTTTTCTGTCTAGGGCGCTGGTGGCACCGTCGGACTGTGCACTCTACGGGCGGACACTCCGCCGGTGGAGTTTCTTACCCTTGCACCTAAACTTCACCACCCTTGATCAAATGTGCCAACCACCAAGTGTATCACCTTGTGCACATGTGTTAGCATATTTTCACAAACATTTTCAAGGGTGTTAGCACTCCACTAGATCCTAAATGCATATGCAATGAGTTAGAGCATCTAGTGGCACTTTGATAACCACATTCCAATACGAGTTTCACCCCTCTTAATAGTACGGCTATCGATCCTAAATGTGATCACACTCACTAAGTGTCTTGATCACCAAAACAAAATGGCTCCTATAATTTATACCTTTGCCTTGAGCCTTTTGTTTTTCTCTTTCTTCTTTCCAAGTCCGGGCACTTGATCATCACCATGGCATCACCACTATCATGTTATGATCTTCATTTGCTTCACCACTTGGAGTGTGCTACCTATATCATGATCACTTGATAAACTAGATTAGCACTTAGGGTTTCATCAATTCACCAAAACCAAATTAGAGCTTTCAAGATAGAGGGGTGTAGTCTTGATGAGACCAATAATTTTAATTCTGTATTTATCTCGGTTAGCCGACGCGTTTAATTATAGAAAAGACTATTCACCCCCTCTAGTCCACCATCTCGACCCTACACAGTCCCAAACACCCCCTATAAAAGAGAGAAATTACTTGGCTAATATGGTTATCTAGTGTCATTAGGTGAGAATAACAATGCATATGTGTTAGGTATAATGGCGTGACAAGGAAACAAGAGGAAAAACTTTTGAATGTGGCCTCCTTTGCAATGATTCTCGAAACAAAAGCATAGGAAAAACACGAAACTTGCAATTCTATAGGAATCTATAATGGAGGAAAATTTATAATGTAACTTTTTGATAGACACAGGGAAAATATAGGAACGAGAAGACACAAAGGAAAGTTTTCATGAGGTCCAACCTCATGTTAGTTTTCCTCTAAAATTCCTATGTTTTCATGCATCCCATGGCAGTCCTAATGAATTTCATAGGGCTCAATCTTTTGTTCCAAAGAGGTGTTTTGGAAACTTTCCTATAGAATTGAAATCTTCTAAAATTCCTATGTTTTTCCTTTGTTTCAAAGGAGGCCTAACTCAGTGCTAAAGGTGATGTTCCTTGGGATATTCTTTGGAGTTAGCAAATTTGGAAAAAAAAGTGTGTTAGGAGCTCTTAGCTAGTAGTTTTTATAGGTTGATAAGGTTGTTGTTTCTATACCTAATAATAAAGAGGCAAAATTTTCAGCTATTTTTTCGTCTATCCATTTTTTCGTCCATCTCTCCATAACTACCGGTAGTCGAGAGTTTCTTCCGTCTAGACTTATATGACCCCTAGATAGTTAGGATAAATAGATCTCTCCGAGACTAAATAAACTGAATAGGAATATGAATCCTAATTTAAATAGAAAATAAATTAAATAAAATTTTATTTTACTTTCTATATAGCAAAGCGGCTCTTCTAAACCGGCTTTTTACTTCCTATATACGTCCACCTTTTCCCTCCGCGTCTGAAAATTAGAGTCTATCACCATCACCATCACGGAGTCCATGGGTATTTCTTTTTTTTCCTATACGATTGTTGCTTTTTTCCCTTTAGCACAGCGTGTCCAACTTTTTTTCCTGTAGATTTGGTTTTTTTTCTTCTGCTTCTACACGGAGTCCTGTTTCATAATGTGCCTTTTTTTTTTTTTTTTCTATTTTTCTGTTCCTATCTTTTCGTTTTTTGGCTATTGTAATTTTTCTTCTTTATTTTTTTTCTCATACATATATGAAACAAATATAACTGCCGACTCTTTGGATTGGTTTTTAGATGGTTCACCACGCTTGCCACGTGGTAACTGCAACCAACTCTTTCCATTGCTAATTTGTTGATGTAGTTATGATTAAAAATAAAACTTATTTTTCTTAAAATAAGATCAATGCTCTAACTAATCAAATAATTGGATAGTATTGAAAATTGGAGTTATGATATATATCTATGATGAGTAAATACTTTTGTCTTTACAGAAGAAAAAATATACTAAGATTGTACTTTAATTCGATATATAATATTGAACATTAACTTATACATGGTGATCATGGATAAATATAGTTTTTAAATTTTATATAAAAATAATAAAACATAAATAGATATGTATCATTATCGTCATTGTTTTCCATAAATCCATTGCAACACACTGATATATTTGTTGTAATATTAAAAAGATCAAATTTCACTCCACCTAATAATTTTCATCCAGCCCAGCCCAGCCCTTGTTCCCAACGACCCAACCACTTGCTCACCTCTTGGTCGTCACTCGCTAGAGGCTCGCGCTACAGGCTTGCTTCCGCACTCCCTCCTCAGAACTGTCCACACCCCTTGTCAGAACGACCCAACCACTCACTCACGTCCTGGTCGTCGCTCGCTACAGGTTCACTTCCCCACCCACTCATCAGAGTTCGAGAGTCTGCCCCATCCTTCTACATCTACCTTAGAGCAACTCCAGCAGGGTCCCCACTTGAGCTCCCATAGTTAAATATGAGTGCCCATACCAAAAATACAACTTCAGCAGGGTCCCTACTCGAGCACCCAAATCCTCCCTCGTCACCCATTCCTGTGGCTCTAGACCAAGCCCCCAAAGGACGATTTCCGTTCGTTTTTTTCGCACGCTCGCCTTCTCCCCACTTGCGCCGCCGTTTCCCCCGCGCACAACTCCCCTGCCCATGCGCGACTTCCCTGCGGTGACCACGACTACCCTAGGGCGCACGCATGAAGCAGGAGGTCTGGGGCAGGGCTTCACCGACGCGGCACGTGCCGCCACACTTCAGGGCAGGGCTTCACCCACGCGGCTCACGCCACCCACGCATGGTGGGCTCCCGGCGGCGCACCTTCCTACGACCGCGATTCACTGCCCCTCCTCAGAATTCAAGTCTGACCTGTGTAGGTTGTGCACATGAATGATAAATTGGAGGAAATAGAATAGTGAGGAGGTTGTGCACACGAAAGATAAATTGAAGGAAATAGAATAGTGAGGAGGTCGTGCACACAAAGGATAAATTGGAGAAAGTAGAATAGTGAGGAGGTTGTGCACACGAAAGATAAATTGGAGGAAATGGAATAGTGAGGAGGTCGTGCACACAAAGGATAAATTGGAGGAAGTAGAATAGTGAGGAGGTTGTGCACACGAAAAAAGGTACGGAGTGGAATCAAACTCACAACCTATGGTAAGAAACTCATCATTTTCCACTACACCATGTAGCTGGTTTGTGTCAAGTATGATTTTTTTTTACTCTATTAACCATACTATACCAGTGGTTCGATCGGGTGGACTAAGCAAATCGTTAATCGAGGGCTTTGCCGGTCCGTTCCTAACGACTATGTGCACCCATTGGCCTCCTCTTCCGCAGTCTTTGTGCCCGATCTCTGAAAAAAACAGTGCCTTACCTATCTCCTTCAAGCACTATTCGATCGAAAATAGCAACAGGCAAGTCCCTTGACCCTAGCCTTGACAGGTGAGGAAGGCCCTGGCTCTGTTGCAGCCACCAAATGGGATTCGCATCCAGTTTACCTCGGTCGCACCTTCGATGTGCCTCTGCCTCTCCTCCAAAGCCAACTGCATTGTCGTTGTCCTTGTGATCCTGTATACCTTGTGACGTACTCAAGGCCACCTTCACTGAGTTGGACGCCGAGTCAGACAGAAGGTAGAAATTGATAACGACTCCGTTGCAACGCACGGGCACTTTTGCTAGTTAAGTTTTAGAGCTCCAATTCATCCCCTATTGGCAATTCAATCCTTTCACACAAATACTAATAGATGACCTCTTTTTTTAAACAAAAAGGAAACTGTGTTCATGTAACATCAGTTTTTATTAGGTGGTACAGAAAATAATCTACTTAGGCACAGTTATATTTATTCTAAAAAATTGTTTTACCAAGCTTTCTAAAACCAACTACTTCCCAGGATGATTCTTTTTCTTTCTGTTGTTCAAAATTATGCACACCCAAAAGGGCTGCAACCTGCTAACAAGCTTGTCAGATCTGAAATTAAATTAGAACATGTACATATTACATGATGAAACTTGTTACATCATAGCACATGTTGGCAAGTTACTCTAGGAACTGTACAATTGCTGACAAAATTTAGAGGTCAATCGCCTCTGGATCCCGGCCACATACAGCCAGGTAGCCATAGATAGACTGAAACCTGAATCCATATTCATTGTTGCATTCTGACAAATATGAAAACATAGAGAGGAGCTTTCAGCTGAATACAACAGAATCAAGTGCAGGTTTCAGTGTAACATCTCTGATGCAGCCTCAAAGGACATCAAGTTCATGTTCAATTGCAGCAAAGTCGAACCCACTCCAATCAAGCTCTGCATCCATATTGAAAGCTGGGTCATTCATTGGAAGAGGCAGGTGGCTAATGTCTGCCAGACCAATATAGTGATCATACGGATGCTCATCTCTTGAACCGATAAAATCACTAATTGGGAATGCATCTTCCAGCCTCGTGAAATTGTCAAGTGGAAGTTCATCAGCTGGCCTGACAGAGTCACAAACAGGAATCTCATCTATCCGTCCTAGCAGATCGTCAATTGAAATCTCTTTAGGTGTGGGGGAGAAGTTCAGAAAGACTTCATCTACAGGCTCAGGATCTTTCTCCACGAGCACTCTATTCTGCGGTTCATGCGCTGTCTGCTCACACGGGGCAGATGAAGATAGGCAGGAAACCGAGGAGGAACTTGATAGAGGTGCACGTTCTGATACAGACTGTTGAGTCTTAATGGCTAACACCTCATCACGGATCTGGTTTGCATATGCCTGATATGCCGCAGCAGCAGCCTCCTCAGAGTCGTATGAGCCAATCCACTTCCGGGTTTTTCTCACAGGATCACGAATCTCGGCTGCCCATCGACCCCAGGGTCGCTTGCGCACACCACGGAACCTGCTTGATTTCCCCTTCTTCTCTGAAACCTCTAGATCCTTTGTTCCACACGGCACAAGGGTCTTCAGACTATTAGAGGTCTTCGAGTTCGTCACTGGAACTAGTACCTCTCTAACCATTTTCTTTTCTGCGATGTTCTTATCATCTTCATCATCAGATGAGTCTGTAGCATCAGGATCAGCACAGAAAATGCGGACCTTCTGCACTGTGGGCAGCATCTCGGCACACAGCTTCCAGATTCACCTCGATTTGGATCTGCAGACAGGTGAGGTTAATGCATCAAGTATGAAAATGTAAGGTTACAGTTTCACATAGGTTGAATAGGATACATGTTTACATACCAAGGAAACTTTTGTGGACAAACTTAGGGCAAAAGACTCCTGATCTGCGTAAGAACTGCAGCACAGATGGAATCTGGCAAATCAGAATGGGGTTCTCTCTAACTTCTGATGGAAACCGGAAAAGAGAAGATCGGGTTCCTTCAGACTCAATTTGGAAATCCGGCTGACTGTTTGAGAGACGTAATGGAATCCACCCAGACCAGACCTGACAGAATATACAAATCAGACAAGATTGTAAGATGATGCACCTGCTTCAATCATCAAGTTCGAAAGAGGGAAATCTTTATATAATAGTAAAAATAGCAGATGATCATTGATTATTTATTGTTCGAGATATATGTCCTTGTAATTTAACGCTTACCCAAGACTGACTGTGATTTGGGGGATTCTTGAACTCTTGCTTCCTCAGGTGCGGCAAAGTAGGAAGCAAGGGTCTAAATGCAGAAACCCAGAGTACTTCACCCCAAATCCAAATCTGAAACCATTGTGCATTATACTAGAGGAAACTTTCCAAATTCATATAAACGAACGGAAAGACCGAAAACTAGTTGAATAGGAAATTGCTATCAAAGAGATATGAAATTATGTAAACCTCCATCTTTGCATGCCAAACTAATAGGTGACATTTTTATGGTCAACAGGAAACGGGAGATTAGTTCTAGTCCACCTCAGCTATGAACCAGAGCAACACACTGTGAGCTGGTTATTGCCAAATGTGGGGCACATGAAGAATTAACGTGACTAGTAGAGAATGAAACTCATGGCGACTTGCATAATATTATATATTTAGAACTTTTTCAGGGGACCGAAAAAGACAAATGATGCTGACATCATTGAACAAACTAGCAAGGACTGCTCCAATACATTATTATTGACTAAAGAAGAACAACGATTCAGATGAAGAAAAACTTTAATGTCGGACAGAGAGACAACAGATATCATAACCTCATATAAACAGGCGACTACATGGAATGGAAGAGAGTAACAATAAAGCAGATTGGATTCTTGGCGTGAACCAACCAATCAATCGAACAGGTAGTGAGCGAGAGATATATTACCCTGAGATCCTGAAGCGAAAGCCGCAGTCTCTGGCGCCCCTCTGCCCAGGCTGGAGAAGGGAGCAAGAAGAGGCTGCTGACGTCGGGAGCTCAGAACCATGGAGCGGCAGCAGAGCAGACGACATAAATCAACAGCTGGCGCGCTGCGTGCGGGCTAATCCACTCCTGATCCCCCGATCCTGATCACATCAGAGACACGGACGGCACCGGAAACGGGTGAGAAGAAATCAGAAATCGGCCCGACGATGCGAACCAAACCAGAGGGGATACAAAGATGCAATCTTTTTTATTCCCACGAGATTGATCGATTCCACGTATGGAAAGAACGAACAGAGAAGTATTAGGTTGGCAACTGATGTAATGCCCAACGAAAACCGTATCAAGAAAAAAAAGGAAAAAAAAGGCCCGAAAAGAAATCGCACCAGATCGCTGAACCAAAAAGAATCAAAACGATCGGGGGCGCAATTCTCGCCGAAGAAGAGGCAACTGGATCGAGCACAGAGCACAGAGATTATACTTACAAAAGCTTGGGTGCCACGGCGCTTGGGCGATCTACGGAGGAGGCCGGAGCACTGCCCACTAGAGGGAATGGGAACCACCCGGAATCCGAGGAAAAGCGGATCTGGAGGGTCCCTGCGCGGGCAGGAGACTGTTGGAGGTGGCCAGGTGGGATGGGGGAGAGCCGAAAGGAGAGGAGGGCGAGGAGGGGGTTTAATGGGGGTCTTGCTGCTTCGGGCGGAAGAGCAGGGGAGGAGGTCTGGTCAGGTGGAAGTGGAAGACGATGAGGAGGAGCGGTGCGGTGCAGGGAGACGAAACGTGTGACGCGATGGCGCAGGCCGTGTAATTATAATGCGGCCTGGCCTCGGGCGTACCAAAAATCCCAGGGGGTACGCCGTCCTGTGTACCCTGGATTTAGCTGTCTATTTATTTAGAATCAACATATCAGCTGATACCAGTACTACCTGGAGCCAATTGTGGCATTGCTGTATTTCCAAATTTCCACTGAGTATAATATTCGGATTCTCCTATATTTAAAAATACGTTACTACTGTATTTTTTAATTAAAAAATCACAGCTTTTTCAAAAGTTAATACATTTTTTAGGAAAAAAACTTATTACTACTATTATTTATCAAACTAAATTGAAATACCATGCGCAGCGCGTCGATACCATGCTTCCACACTTTGGCATCTGTAAATATTCTAGATCTATTTGAAAGGGGACCAAGACCAGCCGCACGAAGGCAAGGCGAGCCGCATGTTCTTCAACTGAAGTGTGTTTCGTGTCGCGACTCGACAAAGGTTAGGTGCACCCTCCGCGGCACGTCTGCATTTACGTTCACACTTTGCTTCACGCCTGCATTTATGTTCACACGCTGGCTCGTCAAAAGTTCGGTAGCCGTTTCGTCCGCTGCACACGCAACACGACACGGCCCATCGTGCAACTAGCTGGAGTTGCCTTCCAAACATGGACTCTTTCAACCGTTCGTTTTTTTTAAAGATTCTCTTTCAAATCTCAACGGTGAATTTGAGTAAAATGTATAAACAAAAGTATGAGCATAAAATACATTGACTCACTAGTAAAATTATAATACACTTATATCAACAGTAAAATCTAGCAATAGTACACGTTTACTTAACTTATTAATGTTCTAAACATTATTATTTGATCAAATTTTCAACAATATGTTAAGGGTTCTATTTGGTTTGGGGATGGAGTAATCCACCATCGTCTCACTCCTCGCTATTTTGTTTTGGTTTGTGAAATAGGATAATTTGTTCCATCATGGTCTTATTTCTCAGAAACTAAAATTAGTGCCAGCATGAGGATTAGAACCAATCTACCAAAATTATAGAATGAACTCATGATGTATCATCTCATCTTAAGATATATAATGTGAGCACATAACTAGAACACAAAATCTAATAATAGGGTAGTACTAGATACTGTACTTGGCATGATGAAACGGGACAACCAAGAAGGAATTAACAAAGTTGTATTGGAACAAAAGTCATATAATATAGTATATATATAGTAAGTATAATAGAGGCAAGGAAGGCCAAAACAAAAAATACAATCCTATGATATAGTAAGTATAACAGAGGCAAGGAAGGCCAAAACAAAGGGACAATCCTACGATCAACGCTATCCTCCTTCCCTTCTAATACGGCTTTGCTAATTCCTTCTTGGTTGTCCTGTTTCATGGTGCCAAGTTGACGCCTGGCGTTGCATTTTGCAAGAACTTTATTTACTTAAATGACATTGGGTGTAATCAACTTTGTGCGATCTAGCAAGGTTCGAAGTACTTGCCACAGAAAAAGACATATATCCTGTCTATTCTTGGGCTGAGGTTGCATGTTGGTCCCATATGGTTGAGATTTGATGATATGATCGATACACATTGACCGTCGTGCCCGAAACTTGGGCTGTGTTTTGCTGGGCTTGTTCGCGATAAGTTAATATGAACTTAAGTAAAGTAGCAGAGCGCTATAGCCTATAGCCTAACCAAGAGTGTCAGCATCACTTGAAGTTCTAGGTTAGACTCTTCGTAGGAACGAATATTTTAAGATTTAACAACTTTGTGTTTTCAGTGATATAGACGACGTTCCATAGGAGTGAGTGTACGTGCGTTGTGAGCGTTTTCATTGGAATCGTACAGAAAAATAAGAAATCATCCATTCATTTTCACAAGAAAGATGCAAGAAACAGAAAAAGTCCCACATTCTAAAAGGGGCCTTAAGTTGTAGCTTATGATGAACTCGTCCCCATTTGTCTAAGCTAATTTATTTGGTCACGACTATAAAAAATTCATACATACATTGTTTTCATTTTCACAAGAAAGATGCAAGAAACATAAGAAGTCTGACATTTCAAAAGGGGCCTTAAGTTCTAGCTTGTGATGAACTCGTCCTCAATTGTCTAAGCTAATTTATTTGACCACGACTATGAAAATTTCATACATATGTTGTGAGATGTAACCAACTAATGTGTGCATTGTAGTTGAAGGAAATAGGAAAGGACTTAAAGTTTAACCATCTTAAAATGATAATTAGTGGCATTGTGCTTGAGCAACAGTTGCAGCAGTAGGGATGTAGTTGGAACAGATACGAACGAATACTACTGATCTAATATTTGTTTTTTTTTCCTTCAGATTTGGAATGAGGCATGAATAACCGTCGAATAGAGATACGAATGTGTATGATCCCGGTTACAAATACGAGTAAATGTATACCAAATATGAATAATGTTGGCCACAAAATAATTCTTCAAATATCGAGTTTTTTTATAAGAAATATTGAGTTAAAACACGTTGGTATATATGACACGTGTAGCAATCATTCAAGCGCTTTACGATTCCAATGATTGCGACACGTTCAAGCGCTTTATGATTCCAAATCCTAACAAATTATGCTTGAAAGAAGCAAAATAATGCAATAGACAATAAATCTGTTGCCCAATTGCATTGGCATAACATACGTGAGTGTGATATCTTTTTATTACTTGATTTACGTGACATTCTAACTTATTAAACTGTTTACAAGATAGTCACACCAAGGAGTCCATATTCATATCTAAGTTCATTGCTCATAACCCCAAGTCAAAAGAACTCTATACTTATTGTTAGGAAATATTTTTTATCACAAAATACATGAGAAATAAATGTAGAAAACCGAAGCGAATATATAAAAGAAATAAAAAAATTTAGGAAATATAAACGTTGGAATGTTGAATGCATATAACAAATAAAAAAAGCAAATAGAAATAATGGCGTAGCAATGTTTGATTGTTGAGAAGTAGGGATCGGAGTAAATATAGATGGATTATTATTATATAATTTAAAAGAATAAAATATTTTATTACTCGGTAGTAAAGTATATCTAATTAGATTGCTGGATATCTAATACTAGTCAATATCTGTCAGGTATTAATATTTGAGAATCAACTAAGATATTTGTATTGATGTTTAATATCTGAGGAAATATCTTGGATACCTTAAAATTACATCCAAGTTAATATTTGATTTGATTGTCTTGGTTGGGACTGTCAGTCAGAAATATGTGTCCGTTTTCATAGTCACAAACAACCGTCAGTTATTTCGTTGAGGCGCTCTGTGCCTCTGTGAGTATTGGTGGCTGCGGGGTGCACGAGAGAAAAAGGGTGTGACGCTGACGACTGCCTGCCTGCCTGCCGGAGCATCGCGTCGCACTCACGAACTGCGGGTCCCACCTGGCCACCCCGAACACGACTCCGGCCTCGAACCGACCGTACCGGCCCATTTCGTTTCTGCGGCCGCGCGTGGGCGCCGCAGACCATCGGAACTCGGAAGCGGTCGGCTCCAAGATGAACGGTTCCGATCGCCCCGTCCTCCAATGGAAACGGCAGGTCCGCTGCGTCGTGGGCCTCGAGGCGCGCGCCCGGTTTTCTTGGACTCCAAGTAAAAGAAACTTCCCCAGGCGTCAGTGAGTGATGGCCACTCTGCAGTTGACCGCTGCTTGTTCTCAAAAGAAAAAAAAAAAGTTGACCGCTGCTGTAGCCTCCT